GTGAAGAAGATGCAATTGACTTCAAAGGCTAGACAACAATTACTAGCATGGTGAAATTAACAAATCGTTTGAATGATAGACTTGAACTAATGGAAGAGGGTCAAAACTATATTACTCAAATTCGACAAGAACTGGTTTCAGATCTTTGCATTTGGCATTGGATTTTTTATTGTGCAGGTGATGGAAATTGTCAAAGAGCATGTGGTAGATTTAGAAATTGTACACAAAATTGCTCAAATTATGAAATAAAAAACAATTTAAAAAATGGTAATGATATGCATAAATGCAAAGTTCATATAATTACAAAGGTAATGCTTAGCATAATCACAGAAAGATTCTCTGTTCAATTATACATAGAAGGTCAGCATATTCCTACGAATTATCCTATTCAACATGAATTGGTCATTACACGTTTAAATCTTAGTAGAAATGTAAGAGATCAAGTTATTTTAAGTAGACGTGTGGATGGATGTACAGCGAAGGAAATAAAACTCAAACTTTTAGCCCCATTCAATGGTATGCCAAAAGAACAATTAGAACAACAAGAACAATATGGAACTAATATATGTAATGAAAAAAAAATTCAGCAGTTATTAGAACGAAATAATTGATATATTCGTGATGATGTAGGTCCATGGACAATTTTACATAGATTAGTTATAGATGAATTGAAAAAAAGAGGCTTTGTTTTCTATTATCAACAAGAGGACCTTATTCTCCCTTCAAATTCACCAGAATACTATTATCAACTTACTGTAAGTGATAATATGTGGCTCGAACAAGCACGAGACTATGGATCGTTTTGTTTTGGTATAGATGCAAAGTACAACCTTAATAACAATCGAGCACCTATTCATACTCTTGTAGTAGAGGATTGTGGTAACTGGGGTACACCCATAGAATTCATATTGTCTAACAAAGAGAACATGCATATAATAAGGCTTGCGGTCGAAGTAATAAAGGCAAATATATCTTGTAAAAATATGAATTGTGAACATTCATATGAATACGTTATACTGCCTAATAATAAGAGATTTAAACGCATACGATTATGTGCAATTGAATGGAAACCTTTTGCTATGATAGACAAACATTAACCAACAAAGGCTGCATTAACGCCTATTATTCGTGGTATGATATTTTGTTGGTTCTATATAATGCAAACTTTTAGGAATCACCTTAGAACACAAAATATTGATTGGAGCTTAAGGTAATATACAACCATTCAAAAATACAAGTTTTCTATTTATAATTATATTACTCATATATATATAATATTTGTATAGATACCCAATAGCATTGGTGTTTAAAATTGTTGGAAGATGTAGAAGTATCGTCGAAGCTAAAGAAATGGCGATTGAATACAAAAATTTTATATATTCACTTCCAATTTCAACTGAAATCAAGACATTTTTTATACATGATCTTGAAGAGAATTGGCTTAGTCAAGAGTGGATTCTTAGTTTTATTGATGGTAGACGTTTGCCAAGTCAAGAAGATGGATTTAATGCAAAACTATGGACTACTAACAACTTTATGGAACAAATAAATAGAACTATAGAGAAACGATATTCTGGAACCCAAACAGTATTAAGTTTTATTGAAAGACTTTATAGTGTCAAAGTTGTTCGTTCAAATATTATTGAGAATTGTGGTCAGCTTGTCTTTAATGCAGGACTTGTTACATATTAGAATTCACATTCTATTGAATATTAAAATGGATTACACAGATCACAACCTGATATAATGCGTCACATTAATCAAGGGAAATTAATAGTTTTACAAGATGGTGTTTTTGAAATTTCAGAAAATCCAGATTTTTTATACATATATATGAGTAATTCGCAGAAAAACATTTTTAGATCTCCATATATTGCGGATAAAGTTACGTTTGAAAATAATGAAGCTCAAGGGGTATCCAATATGATTAGAAAACTCGCATCGAAACATAAGATTCCAATAAAGCCTAATTATTATTTAATTAATTATATTACAGGTGAATGTACCTGTCTTGACTTTATTTGGCATGGATCATTTCATAATTTTTGCAAACATGATTATGCAGTACGTATCTATATGTCTATTAAGACACAAAAAATTTCAATTGATCAAATAAAAAAAGAATTCGTTCAATATTTTCGAAATAAGGAGCGAATAGTAATATCCAATATAAAAAATCAAATCATTTATTCTAGAACTGATGAAGAGGCCTATATTGAAATTTTATATCAATATAAAGCAAATGGAAGTGAGATGTTTTTTCTAATTAAAAAGCAAATTACAGAGAATAATCTATTTAGGCCTAATGAACTTCCAAAGCAAAGGCACTCTACTGCTGGACTATCAAAAATTAATAGTACTAAGCCTCGTGAACTCAAAGATCAAATAATAGTTGAAAATGAAGTAAGTACTAATTAATATATTATTTAAGTAATATAAAAGAAAACCAGACTTTGATCGTATAAATTTTATATAATCGAAGTCTGGTTTTTTCTTAGCATCACTTGTTTCTTATACTATCTTTCGCTTAAATTTTTCTGAAGGTTCAGAACAACACCATAAATGATAATAACCCTAATTTTGATAACTTTGAAGAATCAAGTATCTTACAACCAATTTTTGAACAAAGTACCGGTAATAATAAATCAAGATCACGTAGTGTAAATATAATTTATTTATTATATATTTAGAGTAATCGAAATCAGCTTCTATGTTAATAATAAAAACTAGATATAAGCCATTAGTTTCTGTCAAAGAGAATGTGAATATGCCATATTCTGTTGAGCTATGCCAAACAAAAAGAACACGAAATAACAAACGCAAAGCTGCATTAGGAGGATATGTAAGTAAATTTGCTACTACTGTATGTATTTCAATATAAAAAATTTAAACAGCACTTTTTTTAATATATTCACAACCAGATACAATTGATAAAAATGTTGGAAATGCTTTATGACCACGAAGAAAAAAAATCAAAAATCCTGCCTTGGATGAACTTTTTGAAGAACAAAACATTAGTTAGAATCGTGCAAAATTTGCTAAAGAATGCTAGTCTCGAAATATCCGCCTAGATAATAATGATGTAGCCAATACTACAAAGTTAATTAGCTAGTTTGATCATAAAAAGAACAAAGTCAAATACTTGAATAATAACTTAAATATTGATAATACAAATTTGTAATAAATAAATATTGAAATTTGTAATAAATAGCTATATTTGCATATAAAAGAAATATATATGAGCTTTGTGAATTAAATTAATCAGTATATTTGGCCTTATTTATTAATATAAAATGGGTTTTATTTTCTTAGCACTATTTAATAATATAAATGTCTTATTTTTATTCTAAAAAAATAAATAAAAAGCATCAGATAATTTGAATAAATGTGTTCTTTAAAATACCAAGCTTTTATAAACATTATTATAATACTACTTACACTAAATCTATTAACTTTCGAATAAGTAGATTGTATAAAGCCATCTTCAATTACAAATATTCGACCTTCACAAAATATTGCCTTAGCTCTTGCCGGTTATATTATTTGTTCTATGAAATGTTCTGGTAAGATTCTAATTTTATTTTGTTTGTTTTTCAGTTTACTACTAATGATACTTTACCTTTTTTACCTTTGCTTACGCACTAACAATTCTTCTACTTAATGCGCAACACCTATTCCTATTCAACGTATAACTCTATTCCATCTAGCTTGCACTGCTTTCTTACTTCCACTTAACTGCTAATATGCAACACCTTTTTTGTCTCCAATTAATACACTATCTATAAGTGTTCTTGAGTACAGTTATTTTTCTCTAAAGAAAAAGATCTGATCTCTTAATAAAGTTAACAATTTTTGATTGGTTAGTCTACGTAAGTTTATGTAACATCATAATATTGTCATGTGTTTGTTACACAACTTAATAAAAATTGGGTCCTTTTATTTGCTGATCACAGGTGAATCAAAAAAATATACTCTGTGAATCAAAAAGGATGGATTTGCAAAATCAACCCTATTATTTAAAAATCAGAAGTTAATTTACTCCCAAATATTACACAAAAATCGACAGTTGAATTGCATATATTTGACTAGTGTTTATATAGTTAGATTTCTTAAGAACCACCAAGCCAATTTTAATATTCTTACTACTATTAAATACGTTTTGATGAGCTCTACAACTTTTGTTAGAAGTTCAAAGATAATTTACTTAGTAAAAAAAAGTTTTCTTGGGTAAACACCATATTTCTGTCTTAAGAGATTTATATATAGAACTATGTTGTGTTATACAAGATAATTTTTTAGTTCATTAGAGAATCATTAATTAAATAAAAAATTAATAAAAAAATTTTTTTTAATACTGCAAAAAA